CTATGGCTTCTCTAAAATGGGAGTATTTTGGGTCCCCAGGCCTTGCAGGACCAGATAATTAAAGGGGCAGTGACTAGATTCAGATTGCTAGCCCCCCAAAAATGTCTCATTTTCCCCATCAGTACCATTTTATTACAATCAGGATATTTGTTTATCTAATTTATTGGGGTGATACTGGTTAATTTATAGCTTTCAGGTATACCGTTCTATAATACATCAACTGTATATTGTATTGTGTGTTCACCACCGCCACAATAAGAATATTTAAAGGTAATAGGCCAAACATTTTAAACAAAAAGAACAAAAATACCTCTTGTAGGAAGTGAACAGCCCAGGCTACTCACCTCCTACCCCACCCCCGAGGCCCAGCCAGGGGGTGGACTCCCTTCCAGGGAGGGACTCTCCCCGTGGGGCTCCCCCCCCCCCCCCCCCCCCCCGCAGCAATCCCCTGGAGAGGCCTGGAGGTGCTGACTGGGTAGGCACTGGCCCTTCCCTGAGGGGCTGAGCTGATTCCCCCTCAGGGGAGCATGTGATCAGCAGCCAAAGTAAAACTACTTCAAAAGGAAAGCAACAGCCCTGGCCAGTTTGGCTCAGTGGATAGAGCATCAGCCTGCAGACCAAAGGGTCCCTGGGTTCGATTCCTGTCAAGGGCATGTACCTTGGCTGCAGGCTCCTCCCTGGCCAGGGCCCTGGTCAGGGCTTGTATGATTGGCAACCAATCAATGTGAATCTCTCACATCGATGTTTCTCTCTGTCTTTCCCTCTCTCTTCTACTCTCTCAGAAGATCAGTGGAAAAATATCCTTGGCTAAGGATTAAAAAAAGCAAAAAAAAAAAAGCTGATATTTGCAACTTGGTGGAAATTGCATCACCCTGCAATTGCTTCATTGAGATGAAAAGGTTTAAACGTCCATTTCAATGTGTGCAAAGGGGCACACACACGGCTTTTCAACATCACTTTAGGGGCCACTGGAGCCAAAAGAAACCCCCTGATTCTAGCTGATTCTAGCCCTGCAGCGAGGGCTGCCTGGTCCAGGCCTCTCGGTGGCTCACACTCTGAACCTGTGCCCCGGTCCACCCTCTCCGGGAGGCACAGGGACAGGGTCCTGGGGAAGCTGAGGTGTGTGTATGGGGGTGTTTCCACAGGAGGAGTTGTATGAGGGGGAGGTCCCTTGGCAGGTTTTTGGGGTTGGCAGGGGGAGACTCTTGAAATTCTGCTGACAATTGATGCTTGGGAAGAAGCATTCCATCTTCCTGCTCCCCCGGAACACATCTTCCTCCACAGGGGGTCCCAGGCATCCTGAAGGTCGGAAAGGCAAGTGTCAAGGTCAGGAAGAGGAAGAAGGTGCTGAGGGCCACACAGGGAGGGGCTCCCAGTTTTGAGGAGGGCTGACCTTGCTTCCTATTGGATGGGAAACAAAAGAACCTCATTTCCTCTCATAAACTAAATGTGGCAAAGCCACACTATGGAGTACTATTCAGCCTTAAAAAGGAATGACATTCTGATGGTACATGCTACCCGCGGATGAGCCCTGAAAATATGATGCTGCATGAAGCAAACTAGGCACAAACTTTGTAAAGTTCTGCTTACACGGCACTTAGAACAGTCAGGTTGCTGGGCACAAAGGGGAATGAATGAGTGCCGCTAAGAGAGGTTGATGGGAGGGCGTCCAGGAGAACTGGTGTTCCGTGAGGAGTTTCAGTGTGGGATGGTAAAAGGTTCAAGAGATGGACGGTGGTGATGGCTGTGAATGTACTTAATGCCACTGAATTGCACACCTGAAAATGTAGGTATACTTCACCACAACAAAAAAAGTAAGCTACATCTAAAAAAGCCTTTAGGGCTAACTTCCAGTTTACAGTAAACACAGGGGTTAGAAAAACAAGTTAAATTATCATATGAAGCTACAATCCAATAAATTTACAATGTGGGGAATGTGGGACATTTTACAAGAAAATTGATCTGAATATCACAGGGCGGGGGGAGGAGGGGGAGAGGAGGGGTTGTTCCAATGAAAAGAGACCAAAAAAAAAATAAAAATACAATAACCAAATGTAATGCATGCACTTCATTGGGCCCTGCATGAAAAACGAACAAACTTTGCCCTGGCCGGGTGGCTCAGTGGGTTGGAACTTCGTCCTATCCACCAAAAGGTTGTGGGTCCCATTCCTGGTCAGGGCACATACTCAGGTTGAGGGCTTGATCCCCAGCGAATATGGAAGGCAACCGATCCGTGTGTGTCTCTCTCTCTAAAAAGCAAAAACATACCCTCGGGTGAGGATTAAAGAAAAGAATGAACTAACATAAGACACATGGGGAAGGCATGGGAAAAATTGAGTGAGGACTGGGTGCTGGGTGGGATCAGGGAATCAGTGAGTCATCTCAGGCCTGGACTTGGTGTTGCGGCTGTTGGGAGAAGGCCCTTATTTTGAGGAGCTACCAGACGAAGCATCTAGGGCAGCGGTTCTCCACCTGTGGGTCGCGACCCCTTTGGGGGTCGAACGACCCTTTCACAGGGGTCGCCTAAGACCATCGGAAAACACATCTATAATTACATACTGTTTTTGTGATTAATCACTATGCTTTAATGATGTTCCATTTGTAACAATGAAATCGGGGGTCACTACAGCATGAGGAACTGCATTAAAGGGTCGCGGCATTAGGAAGGTTGAGAACCACTGATCTAGGGGCGAGGGGTCTTCTCTGCAGTTCACTTTCAAACGACCCAGGAGGGGCCAAAGCAGGTTCCGCAGAATGGAGACTGCTGCACCCCAGGCGCTGGGTGGATACTGTAGAATTTCATTTTTCTGTTTTCTGAGAACATTCCTTTTTTTTTTTTTTCTTTGCCGAGAACCTTCCTAATAAAAAGCTGGGAAGGAAAGTTCTAGCGGCGCGGTTCAAGGGGCTGGGGGACCCTGGCTCTCCTTGTCTCCCAGGCCGTAGTGTCCCCACAAGGGCAGAGCCGATACCTGCGGCGCGGAGGTCCGCTCGCGGGCGAGTCCCCTGGCCCAGGTGCGGGTGAGGTCGCGAGCGCCCGGTGGCGGTGCCGCGCGGGCAGAGTGATGGGTGGGAGGGCGCCCTTGCCCGGGCCTGCTTCCCGGCCGCCAGCGCCGGATGAGAAAGAGCGGGACTGGGGGGCGCGGCCAGAGCCACGCGGGCACCGGAAGCGGGGTGCAGCCGGGCCCGCCCAGCCGGCGAGTCTTATGAATGAAGCCTATCGGGAGCGGGGGCGGGACCTCGGCGGACCAATCGTCGGGGAGCGCGACCCGCGAACCGGGAGACTGTCACAGCGGCGCGCACGGAACCGAGAAGGGGGCGCTCCCAGCGCATGGCGGGCGTTCTCCCCCGGGGCCTGGCCGGACCCTTCCCTCCCTGTCCCCCGGGGTCAGAGATGGGGCTCTGCGGACCCGAAGCCTGGCCCGGCGTCTCCCCAGGGCGCGACGGCCTGGCACCACCGCGCTGCTGGGTGCGCCCGCTTCCCCGCGGCCGAGGACGTAGGTGGGGGGACGGGGCGACCGAGCCGCGCGCGCGGCGGGGGAAAGCGGGGGGGCGACTTCTCCCTGCCTCGTGGCAGCTCTCTTCCCGGTCTTCTGCGCGCACAAGTGTATTTCCGTGGCCGGGGGCGGGGGTGGGGTGGGGAACTGAACTAAAGACGGAGCCACGGCTTCTGCTGGCGCTCAGGTGACTCGATGGCTCCAGTGCTCGGAGGGGAACCGCAGCCCGCCCTTTCCCGTCCGGCCGTTAGCCACTTGCAGGCTAACGCCCCCGACAAATCAGAAGATGCAACTGCAGAGGCGCCGAAACGCACCAAGTTCCTGCCTCTCCGCGCCTCCGCCCGCTCCGCGCCCAGGAAGCAGTAACTGAGCCCCTGGCTCCGCAGCCATTCTCTGAACTTGCAGGGCTTTTTGCGCCGTTTGCCATTTTGCAGACAGTTTCCAGGACTTTTTGCGCCGTTTGCCATTTTGCAGACAGTTTCCAGGGCTTTTTGCTCCGTTTGCCATTTTGCAGACAGTTTCCAGGACTTTTTGCTCCGTTTGCCATTTTGCAGACAATTTCCAGGGCTTTTTGCGCCGTTTGCCATTTCTCAAGCCGTGTTGACCCAGGGGACAGTGGCCTGAGAGCAGCAGCCACAGTGTCAGTGGGAGGCCGCCCCAAAGGCCCGCTCTGTCCTTGAGTTAGCTTGGAGGTTTACAAAGGACTGAGCATTTCACATGCATCATCTCATTTATTCCTCACTCATAAGCCCGGTGGGTAGTCCCTACACCAGAAGGTTGTGGGTTTGATTCCCAGCCTGGGACAGTACCCAGGTTGCGGGCTCGAATACCAGCCAGGGTACACACCCAGGTTCGACCGCTCAAGGGGCGCATTGGGGAGGCAACCGATTGATGATTCTCTCACTTGGTTGCTTCTCTCAGTTCTCTCTCCCTTTTTCTCTAAAATCAACTAAAAAACACACTTAAAAAAGTAATCCCCGGGGTGGCACAGATGGAGCAAGGTGGAAGGCCTAGGCGACGGGGTCACACTTACGTGTTCCTATGGAAACTTTGAATATTTGCTTTATATGGATTTTTATTCAATTCTCAAACATGCTACCGCAGAGCGCCCCTCAGCTGCCAGGCAAGCATTTCAAAAATAGAAAATAAAAATTAAAAAAAAGTAATCCCACGGGTCAAATATGGTTACAAGTCCCACTTTACCGAACCTTGAACTCATCTGCAAGGCGGGAACCAGTAGTCAGCACCCCACACCTCTGCGTCGTCTCCGGGACCTTGCACCCCCGTCCCTCCCACCCGATCCCCACCCCATCCCGCCCCAAACCCGCCCGCAAGCTGGCGCTGTGCAGTCCTTGCAGCCATTCATTTGCAGACTTAATTGTGGCTGGGGGCGGGGTGGGCGGGCCCACCTCCCGCACAGCCAATAGGGAGGGGGTTCTCCGCCGGAGCGGCTCATCCCGCGGGTTTTAAAAGCCAGGCGGGCCGGGGCTCGGAGTCCGCGCGCTGCCTCACCTGTGCTCTCCGCCGCCGCCGCCGCCAGCATCATGCTCTCCGTCCGCCGCCCGCTCGCCCCGCTCGCCCCGCTCGCGGACCCGCAGCAGCTGAAGCTCTCGCCCCTGAAGGGGCTCAGCCTGGCGGACAAGGAGAACACGGTGAGCGGGACGCGAGGGCCGGGCCGGGCGGGGGTCGGGGGGTCGGGGGGCCGGGGCTGCCCCTCACCGCGCGTCTCCCCGCAGCCCCCGAGCCTCAGTGGCACCCGCGTGCTGGCCAGTAAGACCGCGCGGAGGATCTTCCAGGAGCCGGCCGAGCCGGTGAGTGGGGCCGGGGCCCGGGCGGGGGTGGGGGCAGGGGGTCCGCGGCGCCCGGTAGGCGGCGCCTTGGCTCTTGGCGTTAAGCCCGCCCACTTGTTCCCGCTCGCATTTCCCGCCTAAGTGAGAGCTTCCTCCCTCGCTCCCGTTCCTGCGGGGCTCACGGAGGGGACCCGGGGGGACCGCTGACCCCGACACAGCGAGCGAACCACATGAAGTTGCCGGGTTTGGACCGGCCCCGGGCGGGGAAGACGGCAATTTCATGTGGTTCGCCGCATCCGGGGCCATCATCGTCCTTCCCATCGCCCCCGACAGAAAACGCAGGTCCCCGCCCCGGGCGCGCAGGAGGAGCCGCTGCTGCGAGAAAACCCCCGCCGCTTCGTGGTCTTCCCCATCGAGTACCACGACATCTGGCAGATGTACAAGAAGGCCGAGGCCTCCTTTTGGACCGCCGAGGAGGTAATGCGGCCCAGAGCCCTGGGGCGCCCCCAACTCTAGACAAAGACCCGGCAGTGGCGGCGGCAGCCTGTGTGGGACGCACTTGGCTCTTCCCCTCGGGCAGTGACGGCGAACCTTTTGAGCTCGGCGTGTCAGCATTTTGAAAAACCCTAACTTAACTCTGGTTCCGTGTCACATAGAAATTTTTTGTTATTTGCAACCATAGTAAAACAAAGACTTAGATTTTTGATATTTGTTTTATATATTTAAATGCCATTTAACAAAGAAAAATCAACCAAAAAAATGAGTTCGCGTGTCATAGGTTCGCCATCTCTGCCCTTGGGGATGGCTGCCCACCCGGGCCCAGGCGGGTCCATGTTCTAAGTGGCAAGGGACCCTCACCCCAGGGGGGTCTGTGACCCGAGGGCGGCAGGAAGGTGGAGAATTGTTGGGGCGCGGGAGGCCCTGCGTGCTTGACCCCCTGTGACCTTGGCGCCAGGTGGACCTCTCCAAGGACCTGCAGCACTGGGAGGCCCTGAAGCCGGAGGAGAGGTACTTCATTTCGCACGTCCTGGCCTTCTTTGCGGCGAGCGATGGCATCGTCAATGAGAACCTGGTGAGTGGCCCGCCCCCCAAAGTCTGCTTGCACCCCCTCCGAGACGAGGGAGAATACATTCCCTGTCCCTCGTCTCCTAAGTTTTCCCGTTCCGAATGGCTAGCTGTCTGTCAGCTGGCTTTACGCGGAGTCTCCTGACCCATCACACGCTTCGCAGCTACTTCTCCTGGCGGGAGAAGCTCAGACAATGTCAGGTGGGAACAGGTTCTCGCCAGGTGTTCACGGACAAACGGGGGTCCTCTGTCTGCTGGCCAGACAGGTGGCATGACGTGCCCAGCTTTGTCACAGCACAACAGACCTTAAAATGGTACAGGAAAGGCGGCTGGTGCAGCCCCGTGTCAGTGTCCGACCAAACTGGCTGGTAGTTCTTCACGCTGCATGTCCTGTGTCCGCCACTAGGTGGAGCGGTTTAGCCAAGAAGTTCAGATCACCGAGGCCCGCTGTTTCTACGGCTTCCAGATCGCCATGGAGAACATCCACTCGGAGATGTACAGCCTCCTCATTGACACCTACATCAAGGACCCCAAGGAACGGTGAGTGTCGGCGGCAGCCAGCATGGCGAGGGGTCACACGCCGTTTATGTCTAGTTCTGCATTTGTTCCCGTGGGGGCAGAAAAATGACCCACCGGACTAAGTCACAGAGGTTCTCGGACTGCGTCTGCTTGGAGGAGAAAGCCTGCATTCACCTGATTAGCCAGTCACCAAGAGCAAAGCTAGGAGGCTGTTCCGCGTTCAGGGTGGGAGGATGCCATAGTCATCTAATCAGATGCTTTCAGGCTCCGTAAATCTTACCTACAATGTGAGGCGGGGCAGGGTGGAGAGGGCGGGGATACAATGTAGAAAGCAGCTTGTCTTAAGAACGAGTAATCTGCCCCACTAGCTGGTGTCAAGGAAGCGTCAAGGGTTCAATTCTGGCCAAGGGCACATACCTTGGTCACAGGTTTGATCCCCTGGGGGGAGGCAGCCAATCGATGTGTCTCTCTCTCAGATCAATGTGTCTCTTCCCCTCCCTTCCACTCCCTCTAAAAATCAATGGAAAAAAATATCCTCGGGTGAGGATTAACAAGAGCTAGTAATCCTATATCATAAAAACGTAATATGCTAAGTGTCCAACTGACCTTTGAGTGACTGCTCCACCAGTCGCTATGATGTGCACTGACCACCAGGGGGCAGACACTCCGACTGGCAGGTTAGGTTGCTGCTGGGGTCCAGCTGATAGGGACTGGGCCAGAGGGCCGGACACGTCCTGGAGCCCTCCCATGGTCCCTCCCCAGCCGGCCAGCCCCCATGGGGACTGGACAAGACGGCCCTGATCAACCCCATTTGCTGGCCAGGCCATGGAGCCCCACCTGTGCACAAATATTTGCACTGGGCCCCTAGTCAGATATAGAAAATAAGACCTAGAAGTACAAGTGAGGAATTACATGATAGGTAGCCCACCCTCAGCCCCTAACTCCATCCACAGGGACACGTTCCAAGAAACTGGACAGTACTCACCCCTATATCTATGTTTTTCCTCTATATTGCACGCCTATGATAAAATACAACCTATAAATTAGGCACAGGGAGAGAGTGACAACAGTAGCTAATAATGAGTAGAACTGTTGTAACAATACGCTGTAGTCAAAGTCCCGTGAATGTGGCCTGTTTCTGACAACAGACGGCTAAGTGACGAAGGGCCTACGTGACTGATGGGCGGTGGGTGGTGTGTGCAGCCTGGACCCTTGGACAGGAGGGTTCACGTTCCAAATAGGAATTGAGCCAGTAAATGCCCTTGGTCAATGGACTAAGAGTTTTAGTGTGAGTAGATCTTGGGGGTCTGTACAAAGAAATCAATACCTACATTTAAATGAGCATAAACCAAGTCACATTAATATGGGATTTAAGAAGCACAGTGAAGGGAAAAGCCAGTCCGTAAAAACGTCCGTGTGAGCCCCAGTTTGGCCTCGGGCCTGGAAGCACGTGGCCAGGTCTCTGCTGGGACCGCTGACCTCTGTGTGCCTCCAGGGAGTTCCTCTTCAACGCCATCGAGACGATGCCTTGCGTCAAGAAGAAGGCAGACTGGGCCTTGCGCTGGATTGGGGACAAGGAGGCCACCTACGGTAAGGGGACCGCGCCCCTCAGCCCTCGCCTGGGCCCTTCCTGCGAACGTGAACGCGCGCTCACGGGGAACATGTTGGTGTTCACGCTCACACAGGAGAACGCGTGGTGGCGTTCGCCGCAGTGGAAGGGATCTTCTTCTCCGGCTCTTTCGCGTCGATCTTCTGGCTCAAGAAGCGAGGCCTGATGCCTGGCCTCACGTTCTCCAACGAACTTATTAGCAGAGATGAGGTGAGTCTAGTTCAAGCCACAGGCCAACCTGCACCCCAACACCAGCTCTCAGGCGTGTGCACCGAAGGGACCCAAGATACTGGGTTGCCTCACAGCCACTGTCACGCGTGAAACTCAGCCACAGACATACCTGTCAGGATGAAACACGTTAACTGACACCCTCGTATTCTCAGTATATCAGCACACTTACAGGCACTTCTCCATGGATGACAGGGTTCCTAGAGGAATGTTGTATTTCCTGGTATTCTCTGTGCTACTGTCAGTCAGAGCTGGGGAGCATCTTGGTGGAACCAGAACCCATTCTGGTCCAGCGTGTCTCTGAGGGCCAGGATTAGCTGCAGAGGGGAGGGGAGGTGCCAGCGGTTCTAGTTCAGGCCAGGCAGCACCTTGGGACTTGATGCACTGAGACTTGCAGAGGTGACTCACTTGAAATGGCATTGCGTGTCCTGCACATCAGACCGCAAATCTCCCCAGCAGCCTGGCCAGCCCTGCCTTTCCTGCCGGGAGCAGCCTCCATGTGAGCGCCCGCGCTTGCGTGCGGGGTGATAGAAAGGGTGCTGAGCGGAAGTTCACATCACAGCCGAGGACCAGGCCTGCTGTGGGCGCCTGGGGGGCAGCACTGGGAGCCTTGGGTGGGGCTGAGCCTGTTTGGGGGGGCGCGGGGGGGGCGGGCAGCGGCCGTTGAACTCTTCCCTTTCAGCAGCTCAGTGCCTCAGGCGGCTGAGCAGGATGTGGAAGGAGCGTGCGGAAGAGGCTGGCCGGCTGGGGTTGCATGTTGATGGTGGACGTCTTCTGGTTCCTCAGTGACTGACCTCCGGCCTTTCTCCTAGGGCTTGCACTGTGACTTCGCCTGCCTGATGTTCAAGCACCTGCTGCACAAACCTGCGGAGCAGAGAGTGAAAGAGATCATCACCAACGCCGTTAGGATCGAGCAGGTGGGCGGCGTGCGCGGGTGGCGTGGGGGGTGGGCAGGGTCCCTGCTGGGGCCGGGCGTCTCCGGGCCTCCGGTTGGTTCACTGAGCAGCTGTGCTCTGGCCCTAGGAGTTCCTCACCGAGGCCCTGCCCGTGAAGCTCATCGGGATGAACTGCACGCTGATGAAGCGCTACATCGAGTTCGTGGCCGACAGGCTCCTGCTGGAGCTGGGTTTCAGCAAGGTAGCTGTGGGTTTTTTTAAATATATATTTTTTATTGATTTCCGAGAGCGGGAGAGAGAAACATCAATGATGAGAGAGAATCATTGATTGGCTGCCTCCTGGGGATCGAGCCTGCAACCTGGGCAGGTGCCTGACCGAGAATTGAACCCTGACCTCCTGGTTCCTGGTTCAACACTCAACCCCTGAGCCCCTCCCGCCGGGCGAGGGTGTGGTTCAGACCCCTGGTTCCTGTGCGCGCTCCGTGTTTACCTGCTGCTGGGCCCCTTGCAGGTTTTCCGAGTAGAAAACCCATTCGACTTCATGGAGAACATCTCGCTGGAGGGGAAGACGAACTTCTTCGAGAAGCGGGTGGGCGAGTACCAGAGGATGGGCGTGATGTCGAGTCCGACGGAGAACTCTTTCACCCTGGACGCCGACTTCTGAACGAACTGAAGGTCCGCTCTCAGCCTGTTGATATGTACATATTTTTTTTACCTTTTCAAAAATTAGTGCCTTTAGTTCTTATCAACTAGCTGAACATGAGCATTCATTAATGACATCTTTACAACTAGCTACCCCAGCATGAGCCGATGTGATGATGGCCTCAGCTAGAGGGCGACCGTAGACAAAGCTCCGCGGAGCCTCTGAAAGCTCCCGTCCCTGTCTGACCGGCAGGCGGGCGGCCGGGACCTCTCCGTAGCTCCGAGCAGCTCTGTGGGGACATGGCGGTCTGGTCTGCAGGCTAAGCATTCAGTTCCGACCACACGGCCCTGGGAACCTGCAGCCTCGCTGCTTCCAAGCAGATTGTAAAGTTTACTTATTTGTACATAAAATTGGCACTTTACCTACCAGTAAGCCAAGTTTGTACTGCCCGCTTCAAGGCCTTACATGGCTGGACTTGAGCTGGCATACCAGGCACAAAGCATTCTGTTGGCCCCTCTGGGGGCCACTCATCTCACCAGTGACCCAGAGAAGTTAAACTCACCTGAGTGTGTTTCTATTTTTGTTTGCTTTAATGAATTGAGGTGCTTTTTTTTTTTTTTTTAAATCAACTTTAACGTCAATCCTGTGCCTACCTGAGCATGAGCCAGCTGTCGCCACATAGGAGCTGGGCTGTGTTTTGCATTCTGTAGCCCAGGCCCAGCATCTGGGGTAGAGAGAGAGGGGAGGGGACTCCTAACTCGGTCACTGGGCCCTGCAGTGTGGTCGGTGCTGACTGTGGGCACCTGGCTGGGGGGGGTGGCGCTCTATCATTCACTTCTCAAACCTCAAGGTGCTTTTTCCCGACTTTAGTGAATGTGGACAATCCTCGAAGACTTCCAGCTGGGGTCTAGGATAGGACTGTAAATTGGTTTTCAAATTGCCCTCTGACGGTGACCTGCTAAGATCATGCGCCGACGAAGTGGGAAAACCAGGGCTGAAGTCAGCTTTCCAAAAATGGTTTTTCCAAAAATTGTTTGTTTGAGAAGCAAGTACCAACCAGTAGACATACACCAGTCCTTTGGCCCATGTGTTAGCGTGTGGGGTGTCAGTTGACCATTGACCTGTACCATCGTCGGTTTTCACCATTTATTGTATCAATCGTCCACTTGACAAATTTATGTCACAGGCGACCCTTTCATAGCTTTTAAGTTATTGTTTACTGAAGTTCATCCGATTCTGTGCTCCTCGTGTGTGTAACAAAAATAAATAAACTTGGCCATGAGCTGTCTGCACAGGAGGGGCCGAGGCAGGGCTCTGCTGTTTGAGGATTCACTTCCTCCGAGGGTTCCCCTTCTCATTGGTTTGAAGGGAAACCGGTTTTAGTCGGAAGCATTTGGAAGTCTCTTAAAAATACATAACTGCACACATATAACTACACGCGTGTGGGATGACTGAAATCAGGCCGATGGGGGTGTTGAGGCGTGGAGGTGACCTTGTTTCCTGGAGGCGGGGCTGGGGACTGGCCTGTTTCCGTCAGGAGTCCGGGAGGAACCTGGTGGAGAGCTTTGTACCCCAAAGGCACGCATGAATGTCCTTGATGTGTGATGCCAGGCCGGTGACACAGCTGGGATGTTCAGGGCAGCCATGCTCCGGGACCCTCAGCATCAGGACAGCCTCCCTGGGGGGCCCACGGTCACGTCCCCTCTTGCCATTCTCCTGTGCCAGCCCCCGTGCTCTCCAGACCACACCTTAGAGGGCCCGCATCGCTGGTGGGCAGGCCAGTCCGAATGTCTCAGGTATTGAGAGGTGCAGCGCGGCCTCCCCTGGGCCTGCTGGCTCCATCCTGGGGCGAAACCAGGGAGCTGGCAGTTGTAATCTCATCCCAGTTCGTTTCAGACACCCGCCATCTGGCTGCATGGCCTCCTGTTCTCCAGCCGTGGCTCTGGGCCCTCGGCCTGCACCGTCATGCCCGTGGCTTTTTAGACAACCAGGCTCGGGTCCCACTTCGGGGAAGGCAGGCCTGCTCAGTGAACTGAAGGTGCCGTTACTGCATCTGACCTGTGTCCCAATGCCTTGAGGGCCCCCCCCCCCCCCCCCCCCGCAACATACACTTAGTTAAGAGGCACCTTTCGTTGCACGTGAACACGGCTTCCAGTTGGGTGGCCAAGCCCAGCTGGCGCTGGCCGCCCAGAGAGCCTGGCTCTGGCTGGAACTCGGTGTTACTGCCCAGGCCGGGAGCTGCTTCTGCGTGGCAGTGAGGATGGTAGCCCTGCCTGTGCCAGTCCAGAGATCCCGCTAATGGCTTAACGCGCAGCAAGACGCCCAGCCCTGATCAGTGAGTGGCTGTGGCTACGGCAGTCGGGTTGCATGGTGGGGCCTGACAAGGACTCTGATAGGGCTGCATCCACGCTGCAGAAGGCTGCCCTGTTGGTGCATCCTGGGTGTTTAGACCCTGATCCACGTTGTCGCCTCGTCATTTTGGGGGGGGGGGGGGTCATTCTCCACATGAGAAGGCTTGTGATGAGATGGCTGAGCCTGCTTGGCTGGGCCATAAAGAGCAGCTCCTGCAGGATGGTGGACTACATGCTCCGCCCCGTTCGAACGGCCCACAGCGATGTTAGGTGGGTAATGGCTTCCCGAGAGGGATGGGAACAGATGGTGACCATGGAGGCCTGAGCAAGCAGCAGTCCCTTAGGAAAATCCAAGGAGAGGGATCAGCCTGTAAGAGGGGAGGAGTTGGATCCCAAACCTGCCTAAAGTCTGGACACATCCGCCCCACCCCCCACCCCACCCCGCAGTGAAATGGGAGCTAAGGAACAATCCCACTGGCCAGGGAGAGGACCAGGGTGCTCATCTTTCTGGGCTAGGAACCCCTGGGACATAGTCCCACTGGCCACATGTGATCCCATGGGTGGAGCTCACAGTCATACATTATAAAACACCAGAGGCCTGGTGCATGGAATTTGTGCGGCGGGGGGGGGGGGGGGGGGGCTCAGCCCAGCCTGCACCCTCTAATCTGGGACCCTCTCGGGGGATGTCCAAAGTACAGGTTCGGGATCGGGCCTAAACCAGCAGTTGGACATTCCTCACAATCCTGGACTACTGGCTCCTAATTGCTTGTCTGCCTAGTCGTCCTTAACTGCCCCCCCTTCCCCCACCCCTGCTGGCCTAGTCGCCCCCAACTGCACCTCCCCAGCTGGCCTGGTCTCCCCTAACTGCCCACCCCCCTCCCCTGCTGGCCCGGTTGCCCCCAACGGGCCCCCTTACTGGCCTGGTCACCCCCACGCAGCCTGCTTGTTCAGTTGTTTGGTCGTCCCTCACTAACCCCCCTGCTGGCCGGGTTGTAGGCAGCCATCTTGTGAGGGTGTGAGGGTTAATTTGCATATTACCTCTTTATTAGATAGGATGACTAGGAACACGGGAACTTCAGGGTAAAAGGATGAAAGGTAATATAATGAGACCGAAGGGGGTAGAAATCTGAAACCTGGAGAACAGTACTGGGAAGTGATAGGTTCTGAGGGTTTAAGCCCGTGGTTGACAAACTGCGGCTCGCGAGCTACATGCGGCTCTTTGGCCCCTTGAATGTGGCTCTTCCACAAAATACCACCTGCGGGCGCACACGTACAGTGCGATTGAAACTTCGTGGCCCATGCGCAGAAGTCGGTATTTTGTGGAAGAGCCGCACTTAAGGGGCCAAAGAGCCGCATGTGGCTTGCGAGCCGCAGTTGCCGACCACTGGTTTAAGGGGCGCCTGTGACCCTAAAGGCCTCTACAGAGATGGGGAAGGAGCCGGCTTCAGGGTCCTGTTCCCACCATCACCGTCCCCCGGGCATAGCAGTTGGCCCCAGACTCCACACGGCAAGGACCTGGCCCTGCCCGCCAGAGCCGGCTGAGGACTGGCGTTGGGGTGGGAGGGTGGTGGGGGCTTGTGTTCTCCCCTGGCCTTGGAACTCGGGGAGCCGGGTCTGGGGCGTGCGCTGCCAGGAGGCAGACCTTTCTGGAGAGTGGGGCCACACGGGGCAAACGGAGAGCGATCTAGATCTACAAGAAACGGGTCCTGGGACTTGGTTTTCTGGATCTAACCACACCCGAGTCCCAACACGTTCCTAAGAACCTGGTTGACGTTCCTACCGCCTGCAACCAAGTGAGGTGCACAGAGCCCGCAGCCCCCGCTCATCTGGCCCAGTCACCCTGGGGCTGAGGTCACCCCGCTGTGCAGATGGCCGCCCGCGACCAGAACCCAGGTGTGCGGGCCCCGCAGCCACACTCTTGCCCCTTTACCCGAGCGGGCGCCCAGGCCTCGGGTCCGAGGAGCCTGCTGCTGGCCTGAGCCCTGCCCGGGACTGTCCTCCGCCTTGTCCTGGTGCCTGTGACATGCCTCGCCCCACAGGGCGGGCTGAGAACCCGGCACGCAATTTGCTCATCAACTAGAACCCCAGGCTTAGGAACAGGCGGGTGGGGAGCAGCGCTGACCTTGGGGGTGGGGCACAGGGGCTTCAGCTGTCTCCAGGGAGCCACGTGCAGTACCAGTTGCCCCGACATTCCACTGCAGGGGCCGAGGGACCTGCTGCCAGGACCAAGCTGAGAAGGGACTCGACAGAGACTCGGAAAATAATTAGAAGAAATATTTTTTTTTATTTTTTTTTTAAAAATATATTTTATTGATTTTTTACAGAGAGGAAGGGAGAGAGACAGAGAGTCAGAAACATCGATGAGAGAGAAACATCGATCAGCTGCCTCCAGCACATCTCCCGCTGGGGATGTGCCCGCAACCCAGGTACATGCCCTTGACCGGAATCGAACCTGGGACCCTTCAGTCCACAGGCCGACGCTCTATCCACTGAGCCAAACCGGTTTCGGCTGAAGAAATATTTTAATATTGCTATTTGCCCTTTCTCCCCCAGCGCCTGGGAGCTGGGCGGTGGCCCTGTCCCCCCCACACACACACACTGCCTTCTGCTCACACCTGCCTTGGCCTGGTACCACCTGCTCACCTGCTCCACGGTCCTGCTCTCGTTGGGGCCTATTGGAGCCGGCAGCACCTCCACTGCTGCCCAGTGCTGTGTTGCTGACACCCGCCATATTCTGTGCTGCCCCCTGGTGGTCAGCACACGTCATAGTGAGCAGTCAAACTCCCGGTCTCTTGGTCCAAAGACCGCCCAAGGGGACAATTTGCATATTAGGCTTTTATTATATAGGATAATTCACATACCGTCCAACTCACCCATGTAAGATGCACGTGCAATGGCTTTTAGAATATTCCAGACTTGTGGGACCTTCTCCCTCCCATTAGCCTCCCTTGTGTCTGCCCTCCACCCTGCAGCCCCTGGTGGCACCAGTTGGTTCAGTGGCTCTGTCTCCAGAGGTTGGACTCGGCACATTTTTGCAGAGTGCAGTGAAGTGGAAGGTGGCTGTGGAAATAATGGCACCGGCTTGTTTCTAGAAGAGCATTGAGAACGTTAGAGGCAGCAGAGGAGATGGGCCGGCCTCGCAGAGGGGTGGGGCCTACACTTCAGAGAGCCTTCTCCTCTTGGCCTGTTAGAGAAATACTTTGCCTGGAAGGGCCCTGAGCCCGCGGCCAGCCCGTGAGGGGCTGGTAGCCTTCATTCCTTCCCTCCGGACTATCCAATGTTACCCAGCCCTCCCTCTGAGCGGGTGGGGGGCGGGGGACAGGGGAAGGGCCGGCGGAAGGAGGGCCCACGTCAGGAAGCTGGTCCTGGGTCAGGTCTGGCGCAGCCTGTGTTTGTACAGGCTCCGCGCTGAGAATGTTGTAGAACAGAGCAGAAGAATAATTATATTTCGTGACACGTGGAAATTACATAAAGTCCTCATTTCAGCGGTTTAAACAATTCCACTGAGTCCATTTGCGGATCTAATGGGCTTGATTGGATGATGCATGAGTCGGGCGGCACCCATCTGGGCAGGAGAAGGGAGCCCCCAGGAGCTGCGGGGAAGGAAGGCTTCTATAGGCGGGAGTGGGACAAGGGCGCTGGAGTGGGCTCTCCGGGCAAGGCCCCCTTCCCCAGGGCGGGCGGGGGGGGCGGTTCTTAGCAGGTGGCTGCCTCCCCCGCACCCCCAGGAAGCTCCAGGCCAGTCTAGTCCCACTCCTGGGGAGGCTCAGGGACAGGGGAGAGGTGCTGATCTTGGGGGGGCTCAGGGGCAGTGGGGGAGGCTCAGGGGCAGGGGGGAGGTACTGATCTTGGGGGGGCTCAGGGGCAGTGGGGGAGGCTCAGGGACAGGGGAGAGGTGCTGATCTTGGGGGGGCTCAGGGGCAGTGGGGGAGGCTCAGGGGCAGGG